CTTCCGGGCGCCTCGCAGACGCTCTCTAAGCTAGGCCAAATCCGGGGAATCCCGACAGTCATAAATACTGGTAACTTTAAAAAATTCATACAATTCCTTATAGCACCTCAAATGTAGAAGGTACATAGAATAAGAACTGAATCGTCGCGCCAGGTTGACTGTCTGCGCACGCACAGTGTGATGGCGTCGACTGGCTAGTTATACAGGACGGTGCGAATGTACTTATACGTGATGATACAGGTCGTTGTACCCAGGTGATGCCAGTCGTTGTACAACAAAACATATTTTTTTCATCTTTTGCCTCAGATTCCCCTGACAGAAAACGCGACCAGAGAGTCTCCTTCCGGGCGCCTCGCAGACGCTCTCTAAACTAGGTCAAATCCGGGAAATCCCGACAGTCATAAATACTGGCTACTTGAAAAAATTCATACAATTTCTTATAGCACCTCAAATTTAGAAGGTACATTCAAGAAAAACTGAATCTTTCTCACCAGGTTGTCTGTGCACGCGTCGCCTGGCTGGTTATACAGGACGGTGCAAATGTACTTATACATGATGATACAGATCGTTGTACCTAGGTGATGCCAGTCGTTGTACTGGGGTATACAACAAAATATGGCAACTTGGAAAAATTCATACAATTTCTTATAGCACCACAGATTTAGAACGTACATACAAGACAAACGAAAAGAAGCGCATACTGCATAGAGCAGCAGTATGTGAGAGGTGTCAAGATGTGTAGACAAGTATTGTATGTCTGCGTGGTGTGTATACGACGCGACGTGCTTATACTGAGTGGTGATGGCACACGCCTGCTGGTTAAAATCACTCGTCTGTTTCGATCACAGGATGTCCGGCCCCCGCGCGGAGCTTACGAATACAACGGCACCCACCAGCGACGAATATTAATCACGCGTAATGCACGATTTATACCAGATTATTCATTTTGTTTGTTTTCAGAAACAATTCGGATGTAACAGACTTGCGTTTCATAAATTTCCACTTTTCAGACATCTTGAACTAGGATGCACGTAAGGCATCCCATTAAATTCTTATATTACAGTGGACGCACAACACAGTATTTACACACGTAGAGGCATATCACCTTGGACAAAGGTCATAATTGAAAACCGCTCTTCTAAATACAAAATAGACATATTTCTTTTTAGTCTACTGATCATTTATTGATAGTAGGGTAGTTTTGTAAAGTTTTTCCGAAGAGTACAAAAGAGCCACTATTATGGTTTTGTGTTAACATGTGACATGTACTGAAATAATGTATACAATTTTGATCTCGGAAACGGTAACAGATAAGAAGTCGCTTAAATGCGGGCAAAGTTGCGTATTTAGGTAAATAACAAAATGGCGCTTGGAAAAGTTTTGAAATGCAGAATTTTCCCATAATTGTTTTATTTTTAATTTTTTTCTGACTTTATTTGTAGAGGGATTTTAAAACAATTTGCACATTACCATTGCCAAATTTTCTCCTTTACAAAACGGCGTAACTAGAATTTCAATAGGACGTTTTGTCTCTTGTCCTCCAGCATCATCTTTAATTTTTCTTATAGGCGCCGTATTAAATGTTTGTGTAGATGAATAGAGTTTTTAATTCTGATTTCAAAAATTTATAAAATATCATACTCGTACATTAACAATGTCAAACCTTGGTTATTTAAAAAAATCATCATTTTCTAGATAATCCTTGAAATTATCGAATAGTCGTTTGTTTCGTATACCAGATATAAATCCGGTATACGAAACAAATCCCTACCAAGAAAATTCTAAGATTTTAAATAACTAAGGTGAGGCAACGTCGATGTATGACATATTAAATTAAAAAACATACAGGGTGTCCGCAAAGTTGGGGTTTTCCTTTACACGACGTGTAGATCTTGAAAACATAAGCAATTTTTCTTAGTACCACATACTATACACCAATGTCTTAAGGGAACCGACTCTCTGCAACATCAAAAATATCTGAATACCGTCCTGTAGTCGCGACATCACCGACTGGTACAAGGTCACTGGCTCAACCCGACGACAGAACTGGGTCGGGGTCAGTGTGTCAGGTCAGTATGCAACCTTCAACCGACGGTTACGGTCACGCGTGTAGAGGTAATCGCGTAGACGAGAATCCCTCAACAAGCCCTAGAGACGTGGCTAGAGAAGTGCCAGTATCAAAAACTAAAGTGTGGCAAACGCTGCGTGAAGAGGGGCTGTATCCGTTTCACGTCCAACGTGTACAAGCCCTTCAACCTGACGATTTTCCAGCAAGAGTGCGGTTTTGTGAGTGGTTGTTGCATCAACATGACGATAATCCGGACTTTTTGAAGTGCATATTGGTGACAGACGAATCTACGTTCACCCCAGTGAATAACTTTCGCAACACTCATGTTTGGTCAGTAGAAAATCCGCACGCTGTCCGTCCGGCACATTTTCAACAAACATTTTCGGTGAATGTTTGGGCTGGCATGGTGAACGGTATGCTCATTGGACCATTTATTCTCCCAAATCGATTGGACGGGATGCAATACCTAGACTTTTTACGCAACATTTTGCCTTCCTTGTTAGAAGATGTGCCATTAAGTGTAAGACAATCAATGTGGTTTCTGCTCGGTAGCGCATCAGCTGATTTCATTTTCTGTTGGAGCGGTATGATTTCGGACAGAGACGTACTTAGCCCTTCTCGTCAACTGGAGAGTGAGTACTTTTTCCTTTATTTTTTTTACTTGGTCGCCCTCGTTTCACGACACATTACCTTTGTTATTTCAAGGCTAGTTGTTTCTAAAAAGGAAAACCCCAACTTTGCGGACATTAAAGAATATATATATATATATGTGTGTGTGTGTGTGTTTTTGAAATCAGAACTAAAAACTCTGTTCATCAATGCAAAAATCGAACGTTATATTGAAATTCTAATTATACCATCTTGTAGAGGAGAAAAAGTGGCAAATTTAATGAGCAATTTATTTTGAAATTTTACTACAAATAGAGTCCGAAAAAAAGATTTTGGGTTAATTTGATTTTTTCCGTCTCTTTCCGGAAGTACCTTGGATTTCGAAACTTAATAAGCGACATCTTGTTAGTTACCTAAATACGCAACTTTGCTCTCGTTTAAGTCACTTTGTATCTCTTACCGTTTTCCGTGAGAGGCAAATTTGAAACACCAGGTATATTACGCACCAGATCGCAAGTTCAAGATAGGTAGATCGCATTGCTGGAGTTGGTTGATTCAATGATCAGCTACCAGTAGATATAATGAGCACATGTGCAAAAAGGGCTCAGAGGTCTTAAGCCGTATCGCTAATCATTCCTACAATAATTGTAGGAAGCCTTTATGGCCTTCTTGATTTTCATAGTATTTTCCCTACAGAAAGGCTCAGCGCTCTCCTATCAAGTTTTCTCAGCCTGAAATTGCTTGGCATTCCAAACGAAAATATAACCTCAAAATTAGAGAGCTGAAACGAAACAGAAGGAATATATAAATGCTCCTGCCTTTCTGAAGCATAGGAAAAACTATGAAAATCAAGGAGGCGTCCTACAATTGTAGAAACGACCGATGATACATCCCTTAGTTGCTATGCTTCGTCTCCCCCTCTACAACTACTACAACATTATGAATATGTACATTCTATTTGGAACATGAACGAATCCATTGCATCTTCCTTTACAAACTATGTAGTAATAATATGCGCTGTTCTACTTCGCCGATTCAAAATATATAAACTAACTTTGTTTTGCCCGATAAATTTAAGATCAGAGTGTTTGTGATTTCCTGCATTTGGTTTTTGCTACCGATGCATACTTAATATACGTTCCTCGGCGGATCTGCAATCGATGCATGTGCAGTGTCGAAACATTTCCCGTGCTAAAGTGTGCTACGGATATCCTATCTCCGACCAACCAGACGCAAATCGGCATACTCGACTGACATGTTCTATTACAGAGGTAGGTCATTATGTTCAGAACAAACGGAATATTTTATGGATATCAGATATACCTAATTCTTCCGCAAGTGTGCCCATTGGTTTACAATGAAAAAATCATGACTAGGCATTAGGGTGGGTCACTTTTATATGTGAAAAAAAAATGTTCCTTTTTTTCATAAGCTCAGTGACAAAAAGGTGCTAAATCATGAGTGTGAACATGTTATGATGTTTGATTGCAATCAGAATTAATCTTCTGCCTCCGGAATCATGTGGAAATTGTCAAAGATGGGGTTAACGGAGGTATAACTGCGTGGCATACAAAGTCACACTAATGAATATAATTTACAAATAAATGTCTTGAATGAATAGCAAGTAAACGTTTATTGAACAGAAAATAATGTTTACAACAAAAATAATAATGAATAATCATTGAGCGAGGGGTTTATTTTGTAGAGAAATCCTTTTTGCTATCAAATTTTGGCATTGCTTTTCTCGAGTCCATCTGGGCTTTGATGAATCCCTCTCTCATTAGCTTATTGCACAAAGTGGTTGAGGCCTCGGTTACAGCTTTGACTGCTCTTTCTACTGCTTGTGTGTGACAAGGAAGGCGTAAGAAATCCAAGTCTCTTTCTCCTTTCTGTTCAATAAATAATCGGAGATATTTTTCGGTTACAGATTTCAATAATGGTGGCTCAGAGATATCTTCTTGCCAATTCAAAAGATCATAATATATTGATGCATTGAAGTTAATCTGTGGTAACTTAAAAATGCGCAAATCTTTAGTTGTTACTGATCTAGCTTTCAAAATGCGTCGTGCAGCTAATTCACGAATGTGCGGCTGAGAGTCTGTTAACATTGCGAGCAATACGTTTTCCGGATGTGCGAAATAGCTGTTTCTTTGAATTACTGGATCGACGATAGATTTCAAATTTGCTGGTAAATATCTGGATAACTCGATGAGTTTGAAAAAGTGTCGCGATCCATCTTTACAGCTAGAATGAGATTTTATAGAAAACCATATCGGAGCATAAACCTTGATAACATACGTTGCAAGAATAGTTAGACTTTCAGGCGGAGTCTCTACAGAAACATACAGACGGAGGATCCTGTTCGCACGAGTCAGCCACCTCGCATGCGACATTTTACCTGGTGATTTATTAGCCAAATCGCTAGGAAATACACCGGTTGAGATTGCTTCAACCATTCTGTACAAGTATTTTTGGTCAGTACTGATATCTTTAGCAGAAAGCTCCGGTAAGCTCGTTGGAATAGGCGTAAACTTGCTTATAGGTCTTTTTTCGCAGTTCTCGAGATCTTTGCCAATCGTTCCTGAAAATGTTCGTGGTCCAGAGGTACTACCATCAATATATTGGAACAGATGTCTAAATGGTAGTTCATTCATATGGAATAAACAAATAATCCATTGTAAGGGTCTACCTAACCGTTTCTCTAGCAGTCGTATAATACCGCCATATATGCCAACATTCACATTAGTTCCATCACATCCAATTGCAGTTAAATCATCGACGGATATATCAGCATTCAAGAAAAAGTCAAATATTTCATTTGCTATACACTTTGCAGTGCCTGAAGCAGGTGTAATATAGCCTAAAAACTCCGAATAAGGTTCTTTTATCAAAGAAATGTGCTCTTCAACTATGCGTTTTCTATAGTTTTTTCCTTCTATTTCAGACATCATTAGAGTCTGATCTTTTCTTCCGTCAAAATACAATGCGTGTATTTGTGAAACAGTTTGCTGTGAAACTATATTTTCTCTGGCCTTTTTTCGTTCTCGGCGTAGTTTATTTTTATCTATTACTTGAGAACCCGACGCATGTAGAACAACTGATGCGATAGCTGCTCCTGCCCTATCCGACACTCCGAATCTATCGCATGTTTTTGATAGCAAGGTATAATCAAGTCTAGTGTCACTCTTAGATTGACCACTTGAAGTCCTCAACTTGATTTGTGTTGGTTCTTCAGCATCGGACTGAACACTTTCGGATTCAGAAGTGCTACTCAGCTTTTCCGTACATGTTTCGGTTTTTTTCAGTCGTTTGCTCTTAGAATTTTCTCGTATTGACTTCCTTTTCAGTGTTTTTGTAATTTTTGTTGTTGTGACAACATCTAAGGCACCTATCACCATTTGCAGGTATTTTCTTGTTTTTCGGGCAAGCACATTTGAGAAACTCTTGACACTTGCAAGCCGAAATATCAAACAAGGCTTTACTCCCAAGACGAAACCCTTCCAACGTGTTTTTAGGTATTCTTGGATTAGATTTGAGGAGATTTTTGCATTTTAAGTGATACGTTTGTAACATTACCTTCATTCGTTTGGGTTCAACTGTAGGGATAGAGGATTTTGCCCATATTTCTATCAGTCTTGCAACTACAATGGCCTCTATTTCTTTATATGTTGGCTCTTTATTTGTTTCTCTCTCGTATTTCAACCTGTGTCGGGTCCACTCATAAAATCGCATTACATCCCCATAGGTTGGCAATACGTTGTCTTTCAAGTCATTTAAATCACCAAATATCGGACACTTCCAACTATTTCGAGTACGTTCCATTTTTCTGACAGCGAAACTTACACGTCCGCACTTTCTAACGCAAGATACTGATTGCGATGAACTGTGCGCGACTTGTCTTACCCGTGTGTCTTACCTAACACCCCCACTCTTACCCCTCCCTCTCCCTGGCTACTTGAACTCAACCAAACAGTAGCTAACACTAACGCTTAGGCAACCAAAGTAACAGGACCCATAATCGAAGATGCATAAAGAATTAGTAAAGTGACGCCCGAGGAGACGCTAGAAGTTTACGTACACACAATGCTTTAGTACAATCCGGAGGCAATAAAACTCAGAATTATGTAATAAAATTTTACATATGAACTAACGGCACCATTTGGCACCTTTTTATTACTGAGCCTTTTTCAAAACCGAAAAAAAAATTTTTTGACCCACCCTACTAGGCATATCAAACTATCCAAATTAAATCTATCATATTTATGTGTTAATGGCAGATGTAGGGAAAACATGTGCGACTCATTATGTTTAAGGGGCCGTTCAAGTATTACGAATGCAGATTTATTACAAATATTTACCCCCCCAGCAGCAAACCTCTTACCCCCTCTCCCCATGCTTACGTAAACATTTGTCAATTAATGTATTGTTTTTTTTTATTATTATAATTATAACGTTAGAATTATAATTTGAAAAATAAGAAAATAGATTTAGGATAGAGATTATATTTTACTGATACGGTATTCAACATAGAGTAAAGGACAAAAATATTACTTACTAACAAACAAACTTATTTTAAATTTTTGGTACATATATTAAATTCAAATTAACAGTCTTCAGTCCATGAAACCCGAATCCCTGATTCTAAGTTTTCGATGACATTGGATTGCTTCGATTGCTGCTCAGTGTTGTGAGTTTGCTCGCTTTCATCGGATTTTGGAATGTCTACGTCGTTCTTATTGAGCTATTCAACATCATGGTGCTCTAAATTTTGAATAATGCACATCAGTTCATTAGCACGACGAGCAGCGACTCTTACAGGTCTAACTTTCCTGTCAGTGTGCCTGTTTACTTTTTTATGGATATTTTCGATGTGACGATTTAGTGACTTGACGGAAGCATGATAAAGACCACACGGTTTGCATGTTCGACTTGATAGCCTCAATTTTACCGCCGGACAAAAATAATCGTAGGGCATTTGCAGGAAATCTTTGAGTGAAGCACTTAAGCGTAGAGCTAAATTGACTAGAAGATTAAGAAATTGCCCTCCTTCATCCAAAACCAAGTCATCAACTGTTTGTTTTACTTTTACAGGTGGTGGAAGATAGTAATCTAAATAGGCCACTTCTTGGACGACAGCATTCTGTATTTCTACATTTTACAATTTGAAGCAAGTACTTGCTCTCACGCACATGTTTTGAATACCATTTAATGTCTGGAAAATCAGGAAGATCTTGTTCACCTGCCCCAACATATTTTGCATTAACATTATAGCCATCAATTTCCATTGAACTCCATACTTCAGCTAATACATTTCCTGCAAATTCGAAATTAGATCTTTCTAAATGTTCATCAATTGTAACGCCACGTTCATCCAAATGAGACCCAAAATGGTCATGAGGCAATATTAAACCCGCCAGTTCCCGACTAAGAGGAGCCATTCTGCGCTCTACTCTGTTATACGCACTTCTTCCAGGAGCATTGGTAGCTAAAAACAATGCATCGAGATCATGTCGCTTAAAGTGTTGTATAGACTTTTTGATAACGTGGATTTTAATCTGGCCCTCCATCAACCGTCATGATTATCACTGGTTTTACTAGTCTATAGTCAGTTTTAGCTAATGGTCAAAACTCTTCAAGTTCGAGAAGCGTCTCGAAATCCTGATCATGAGTATTAGCGGTTCTAAAGCGAGTGGGGGAATTACCGCGCGCTGTTCACTAAACGTACGCATTATTTGCGGGAATCCCCGAAAATGCGTTTCTTTTTCAAGCAAAGACAAATGCTTGTAGTTTAATGATCTTGAAAAACAAAAAAAAATGTTTTTACTTGTTTCTAGTTTGCTTATAAGACAACTGCGTATTGAAGTAATTCCAGTAATTTAGTGTGCAGCGCTAAACTCAAATTCTGAAGTATGTTAGTTCTTGTTCGTCTATTTAGGTTGCATCATGATCGGATATCTTGCGCTCTCACCATTTTTTTACTTGGCGGTTTGTGGTTTTTACAATATGGTGGATGAACCAATCTGTCCATGGTAGTATTAATGACAGAACACTCCCAGATCCCAGAAATCCAAAATACGTATGTGGTAAGAACATGTTACGCTTAAGAACACAACCTTGAGCCAATAAACCTTTTCATCAAGATCTGATAATAACCTGGACGCCAAATGAATTTATGTAAAAATAATTAGACCACAATTACATCACAAAGTTATAAACTTGAAAGGATTGTCTATACAATATATGTAAATTTATTTATATACAAGGAAAGTCACCAGTATTTTTATAACGGCTTATATTATTTTTAACTGTGCCCTTTGAAATAACTAAATAAAATATTAGTGGTTATTATACCTACTTGATTCATGATTATATAGTATGTTATAGCTTACTAGTCATTTTTAAAATTGATGATTCATTTTATATTATCTCATTTTGCCGTAATTTATTCATACAGGATGTTTACGAGCGAAGCGTGAAGTTTGTCAATATTGTTTTTGCCATGGTGATTAAGTATTTACATCCGTTAATTTTTGCAAATATTTGGTAATATTAAACTCGTAATTATAACATGTCGATGACATTAAACTCGATATGCAGCATTTATGAGATTATATTCTGAGAGGTAGGTGGACTGGATTAGCTGACTTATAATGTAACTTGAACCGTAACATAGACATTTTTTGGCTTTTTACCCATATCTTCAAGACTTCTGCTTTTGGAAAAATACCTACATCCCTTAAATCAGTCAGCTGCTCCTGCATTTCTTTCAGGACAGGTTCCACAATCAAGTGCTCTGTCACAAAAAATTTGCTAACTAAAATTAAACAAATTTAAAGTTGTTTAGGAATTATCCGGAAGAATGAATGCCCGATTCGTCTTATAAATGTATTACTAAATGCTTTTGTATCGTTACACTTTTTTGTTTTATGAATTTTGTATGCGGCTTTCATTATGACAGTGTTAATGATAACTGTATGATAATTTTTACCATCTAAGTGCAAAATGCTTTAGCGAGCGATCAGATCAGGAAGAAAACATGAAAAAAACAATTTTATAAATGTTCCACGGAGCGCTAATAGAACAAATTTATTGTTGTTCGCGAACGAATAAACTCGTATCAGAAAATAACACTATGAATCTATTACGGAACACATTTGTTCAATAAGCTTATATTTATTTATTTATTTATTTAGCAACATCCAACAGCCATAGCCAATTACAGGATGGATAAACATGAAAATATAAACAAATGCATGTTGTGGATGTATGTAGAGCTGCAAAAAAAAAACCGCAAAACAGAACTGGGAGGAAAAAAAAGCGTTCTAGCTTTACCTACCCAGCTCTCAACAATCACACCGGCAAGCATTATCGAAAATAAGCATTAGGTAATGTCTCCCAAAGTCGCACAAAACGAAAATATATCTAAAATGATATTAACTGAATTATAATTACGGCACATTATATATATAGGGGAAAACTTAAGTATGTCAGTCCTAGGCCTGGCTA